TTATCGAACAAAATGGGCAATATGTCATTGATTGATCTTTGTTCTTTACATAAATAAATGACCTTTGAAAAACATAGACAAAAGATGTCATGACTTTTTCGACAAACCAATAGATAAGTAAACTGGAATTAAAGGAATGGGGAGCAGGAGTTGATACAAGATGGGTCTATTTCAGCAACACAGTATGGTGAGGTGTATCCATAAGACCCAAAGAAAGATGTGAGAGGGCACATGTCTGTATACAGCTCTGGGGGTCAGGACTTTGACTATTTACAGTTTTACCCATAGTTGGCTTTGGTGAAAGGCTGTGGTAGTATCCTTCCCTGGAGCAGTCTGCTCTGACATCCTTCCTACTTCTTCAGAAACAAAGGCTCCTGGGACAGAGATAATTGGGACTAAGGAAAAAGGGTAAGGACAGAAGTCATTGGCAGGCAGTGACAGAGCTGACATTACACACATACAGGGTCATTCAAACGCTTTTATGAACATTATCTCTGCTGTTCTTCACAGCAGTGCTGGGTAGGGAGGGGAGGCAGGCAGGGCAGATATTGTGGTCTCAGTTTTACTGTTGAGAACCCTGAGCTTCGGAGAAATGAATGAAGTTTTCCAACGGTTCAAGGCCAAAACCAACATTTGCTCTCTTCTCCTATAAAGAAACCAAAGAGCGAGACTGAATAATGTGTTGGCAGAGAGGAACGAGTAGTAAATGAATGAAGAGTTGTAGACCTTGAATAATTAATAGCTACCACTGAGGTTATACCACCTGTTAGGTTCTGAGATGAGTTCCTTCCTTTCCTTTAAGATGAGGATAACATTTGGTTACCTGAGAGAAGGGGCCAGCAGCACAGCAGGTGCTCAATTAATGTTTAATGAATGAATGAGATAAGACATGAGATAGGCTGGGCAACCTGAGAGAGGCCCTTAGTACCTTATAAGGTGTTTTGATTCAGCACAACAAGTAATAAAAGCCTCTGGAGAGGATTCACACAGAAGCACTAGATCAAGCTTCCTGACTTATTGGTCAACAGCAAAAACTTTTATACTCAGAATGTGAGTTTTCCGAGACCAGATCTGAAATAAGGAACAACCATTCTGCCTTCCAACAACCCACTGTGGCAAACACCAGGAAAAAATAGTTGTCCTGAGGATTCGGGGTTGCTCCCTTTCCTTTTTGCTTTCACCTCCCAAAATACATTTTGGAGTGACCCAGGGCTTCTGAATAACAGCGGCAGCTTGGAAGCGTTTAATCACTGTA